GATATTTTAGAGTAGTTTTTCATCGTTCAAGATATATTCTTCAGTAATTTTTGAGATTGCGGAAGGTAGACACTACACAGAAGACGGCACAAGGTATACGGTACACGGAAGACAGCGAACGGTATATGATATACGGAAAACGAAGGATATATAGGTATACAGTAGACAGTACAAGATATACGATACACAGAAGATGGCGGACGATGTGCGATACACGGAGGACGGCGGATGGTATACGATACACGGAAGACTGCGCTAGATATACGGTGCATGGAAGACCGTGAGCAGTATATGTTTTACAGAAAACGATGAATGGGAGACGGTAAACGGAAGACGGTGAATGGTAGACGCCAGCAGATGGGAGATGGCAAACGCGAGACGTCACGTGAAAGACGGTGGACACTAGATGGTTACTGGAAGAAAGGGAATCGTATACAGTATATAGAAAATGGCGAACGACACGATGAATGATAAACATCGTAGACGTTAAACATGCAACATTCTTTGGGTCCGAATGGCTTACACGCTAGTATCACCGTGCTTCACTTTATCCTCGATACTAATCCTTTTCTTATTTCGTATGCGATTAATATATAGGCCTAGTATATTTAGTCGTGGGAGCATTAGTACCTCCCGAATCCATGCTTTTGTAAAAATTGTGCGGATTGCCATGGGTATAACCATCACTGGTTTTAAGTACAGAACATTATTTTGCTACTGTTATATATCCATTCAAACAAACTATATATATATTTTTTTAATTTTGTTTAACGTCGCTCTATTTATGCTCCATCAGTGCTAATGATCGACGGAAGCTTGCAATGTGTTAGAGAACAAAGCACATGAAACTTTTTTCAGTAGTGCTTGTATCAATCAACAGGGACTTGGAATCGATCTCGGACCTACCGGGTACTAGTAACAAACTATATTTTACATTAGAACTTGTGAACTTGTGGTTTTTTTCAGAGATGTGAGCTTTTGGGAATTCTTTAAATTCAACGTAGTTTTTTCTTTAAAGTGCTTTATCAAAAAATAATAAATTTCGCAAGTTGATCGAGGTTCATGTGACAATATAAAGCGCTGAACCTTTCTTGATTAGTATATATAGCTTTTTAAAAACTATCAAAAACTTTAAAATTGCACGTCTTTTCTTTACCAATATCAATGACGAATTATAATTACTTTTTTGTTTTTCTAGCTTCAATTGTTATTATTCAATAGTTATTTCTAAAAGATTTTTGCATATCCAGCGGCGCAGTCAGCTGAATTTGCAGCTGTAATTTTGTCTTAGGCGCCAGTTACCCGTCCTCGCGTGAGGGACGGGTAGCGCTGCAGGTCGGTTGGCTCTGATCATTGAAGAGTCGGATAACTTGCTGTTTTCTCCGCACGCTGGCCTCGCTGGCTACCTAGAAGTGTGAAAATGGGATCGCGAAGTCTTATCTAGCGTGCGGAAGAAAATGTGGGCGGCGGCTAGTCGAAATGTCGGGGCAAGGGCTCTTCTTTCAGCAGCAGGTCGTCGAAGCGTCTCATGGCGCCAACTCAGCAATCCATGAGCAGTGAAGTATAGTGGGTACTTGTCACGCGCACAAAATGGCGTATATGCGTCGACGCGTTAGCCAGCCCAGCGCAGCCCGATCGCGTTAGCTACGTTGGTAATGCGCAGTTTTGGGGCACAGGTCGAATCAATGACAACAACTCATTAAGGGAATTTCTGTTTATTAAAATAATTATGGTTAACGTCCTCGGTTCAGTCCAAGATTGGTTCTGCCGTAGGTCGTAGGGGGGGGGGGGAGGCTAATGACGCCTGGTCATCGCGTCCCCACTGCGGCTCGAGCTATTCTTTGTTGGACTCAACGAGTTTCCCTGCCTATCGCCCAAATTCTACGATGGATTCCGCGAATGGCGCACTGCGGCACGACCGCGATCTATCCTCATAACGAGCGCGACTCGGGTCGTAGATTGAGGAGAAATTAGGGAAACTTAGGCGAGTGATAGCCACGACAAAACTTGGCGTACACCCGTTCGCTCGCGGTTTATCGGCCAACGTCACGGAGCTCATGAATGGATGATCAGACGAATACTCCGTTTATTCGCAGGACAATCGATGATTGTCATACAATTCATTTATAAAATATTTTATAAATAAATTTAACGTTATTTGATTATTTAAATAATGGGCGGAAATGGGTGAAAATGGATGAGTCTGAGGAATGAAACCTGCATTATAGCATAATTTCGTAGCATCTAAGACGCGATTGAAAATTATAATGCTGACTTTAGAGTTTCTAAAATTTCAAGTTATATTAATGCTTAAATTTGAATTGCTAATCAGTCGTTTTATCGCTTTGTAACACAACCTGATTCTTCCAAGTATTCCAAGTATAAAAACGTCGACATACACGCGTGCTCGCTTAATCTATGAAGACGGCTTAATATTCGAATATTATGCGCACATGTTCGAAAATTTTCTCTCAAATTCATTGTAGTCACCATAGCTATGCAGTATAGAAAGTTTTATAAATCTGAAATCTCAAAGCGTTAGAGCATCGAATACAACAGGGTTTTTAATGGCTTTGTGTATAACTAATTGATGAACGTGAATGTATACCAGCGTCTTGACACTTTTCACAGAAAAGGTCTAGGCGCTTGACTAATTCGTCTTTTGCTTCTAATTGTTTAACTAATAGGTCCCCTGCTAAAAAGCGTTACCCTCGGAGGCTGGCTACTAGTTGAGTGCCCCCATCACGAGGCTCTTCAGTAATGTTCTCTTTTTCTTTCTCTCTCTCTCTCTCTCTCTCTCTCTCTCATATACTCTTGTCGTTGTCTGTTGTTACGCAGACACGCATACACGCAGGCAGTTCTTTTTTGCGATCCAACTTCGCGTTCTCGCATTTAACTTGTAGCACGGTATTCTCTCTCTCTCTCTCTCTCTCTCTCTCTCTCTCTCTCTCTCTCTCTCTTACTTATAATGCTGTTGCATCTCTAATACAATTGTATGCAGTAATAATAATTATAATTGTGCAAATATCGATGTACATCGATCGTATTTGTATCGATCGGTCGTCTTCGTATCGAATACGGGGCTGTAAAGTTTGTTGTCGATCGTAATCATGAACAACGATCGATTCTCAGTCATGTCTATACAATACGTTTGTCACAGCATAACGATCGGTAGAGGACTTTATGGTCATTCTTACAACGTCTGGCCTCCGCAAAATCGACGATAATTCCTCTTCATTCATTGTATTCCTGATAATTATATTCATCTGTTCATACAATCATTTCACTCCTTATATTATCAGAATTCATGAAAACCTATACAGGAACCGACTTATCTGCTGACTGAAGAATAGACTGCAACTTAATGCTTGTCCACTAATTATTTTTTGTCAGAGGGTTCAACGTAGCTTTTAACAGATCAGTGTCATCTGCCTTCATAAAAATAGGTGGCAATAAACCTCTCACAAGCTCCAAACTGTTCGACGGAACCCTTGGACTCATGGGCATCATACTCGGTGATTCATCTCATCCCTTCGGACGGGTGAGTATTACTGATTATTCACAATCAGCTCGCCTCCAAACGGGCTTATCCTGGTCGCCTTGAATAACATGCACTCTTCAACATGATTTAACCCGATGCTAGTAACGTCTCTCGACGCTCCTCTTGAGTCTTGTCCATCGCACAGCAAGCTCGATCCTGCAATTTTTTCTCCTGGATCTCACTAAGAGCTACCCTTCGTTTATTGTTGATAACATCGCATATCTGATCTGCAGATCACGTCAATTTCAATTGCTGCTATCGCTCTTAATCGGCTGCGACAGTTTTCTTCTTACGTCCAGGATTTACTTTCGTCCGTTTTTCGTCTTTACGAAAAACAGTTCAAAGTTTAAGTATGTTTGGAACATGTACGATGTGTGTTCAAAAAGTAAGCTGAATTTTTAAATTGGGTGGGCTCCGTAGATTCGGTCATCGATATTTTTGTTTATTATGTTGGTATACATCTCCCTCATATATGCTCACAGTTTCAGTCAGTTTGTATGTTTACTGTTTTTTTGCGAGACAGAAACGTTAGACGTGTTTTTTGTGCTCGGCGATTTTCTGCTGTCGAAAACAATGAATTAAAGAGTTTACATAAAATTTTGTGTAAAAAATAGAATTAAGTGCTCCAAAACACTTGAAATGTTGACAGTCGCATACGGTGAGTCTACTTTAAGTTAAAAAAATATTTACAAGTGGTATAAGCTCTTTCAAGATGACCGACAAGACACCGACGACGAACCTCGCTCTGGATGCCCCAGCACTTGAATAACTGATAAAGTGTTGAAGAAGTGACACAAATGGTGTTAAAAAATCGTCGTATCATTATTAGAGAAGTGGCTGAAGACGTCAGCATCTCTATTGGCTCGTGCCATGCAATTTTTTCCGAAGTTTTGAGCATAAAACGTGTAGCAGCAAAATTTGTTCCAAAAATTGCTTAATTTTCAACAAAAGCACAGTCGAAGGAGCATCGCTTAAGAGCTGTTAAACAACGTCAATGTTTAAGTTATTCTTAATCATATTCAACAATAAAATTTAAGGTGCTATTACTTTACACTTAGCCTTCTTTCAAGAGCACTGTGGTATGCTATAATTTTTAAGATGCAATGTTGTACTAATAAAATTATAACGCACTAAAAGATTTTTAGAAATTATAACAAATTATTTTATTTAAAAACGTTATGTGTATGTGATAATTTTTTTGCTGTAAATTAGATTTTTAACTTTTATAACATTGTAGGCCACATGAAAATTTTAATTTAAATGTTTATTTTGATCTGATTATTTCAAAATTACGAGGTTTACTCATTTTTATAAATTTATATTGAAAATAATGCAACCAATAAAACATACCATTACTCATAATTAACTTGTAATTAAAAGTAACTACAATTAAAATTAAAATAATTAATTATTGCAGAGGCGTTTTCTGCAAAATTTGAACTTGAATTTTTGTTTATAGATTTGTGATTTCGGTCTTGCGCGTGTTGAAGAACCTGACATAAAAAAAGAAATGACACAAGAAGTTGTTACTCAATATTATAGAGCTCCAGAAATTTTGATGGGTGCTCGACATTATACTACATCTGTTGATATTTGGAGTGTAGGATGTATTTTTGGTGAATTATTAAGACGGCGTATTTTGTTCCAGGCTCAAACTCCCATACAGCAAGTGAGTATCAAGAAATTTTTCTTTCTTTATGTAATACTTTTTCAAAGATTCAGAAAAGATTCAAATTTATTAAATGTCTGTAAATAAAATTATATTTAAATGAATTGAAGCAAAATAATACTATATAGATCAAAATTTTTGAGACATACTCGATTTCAATTTCTCAAACATCGCAATAGTGACCAGTGACATGTATGCTGCAGACGCATATGTACTAAAATCTTTATAATACTCATGTTGTTAACCAACATACTTCAATTTCTTATGTTAACCCATTAAAGCCCACGTTAAGACTGGTTGAGATAGCGACAAACAAACTGTGCTATCTTTTGCATAAGTGAAAAATAAAATATACGTATTTTTTTTTATGTTATTTTCAATTGTTTATAACAAATTATTTAAACAAATTATAAAAAAATTTATAATTTTCAAAATCTGAATGCGGAAATCGATTCTGGGGGTAAAGTTTAGACGAAAACCTATATAACACTTTTCTGTCAGAGGCCAATTAGTTATTGTAATGAAGGAAGAAACATTCGGCCTCCTGAGAGTGTTTCAAAAAATCGTATAAAATGTAGCTAATTATTGTATTTATCCATCAATATTGGCATGAATTATTGTAAATATAATCGGTGGGATTGAATTATTGTTCATTGCCATGTCCTTCTTTATGACTTTTGCAAACAGGCATAGAACATTTCTCACAATACCATTCCGTTCTTGTCCGACATGTTGAAATTCCACATTTCCTAATACTCCCATGTTTCATCACGTGTTCTTGGGATGAAGTTTCACTCTGTTTCTGTCGTTTGGGGGGACGTTTGGAAGATAACTTGTCAATATAATATTCACAAACTTCTTGAACAATATCTTTGGAACCTTTTCTTTCGTCTGGATGTAACTTATTGTAAATCACTGTAGCGTTTGCTAAGGATGCTTGGATGAGCCGTAATACAAAGCACCATGTCCATTTCTTACTTCGAATTGTAGGCATCAAAGCATTACAGTGTTGATCATGTAGATCGACGCCACCCATGTGTTCATTATACATAGAGAAACAATGAGGAAAAAGAATAGATTTTTTCGATGATTCCTGCCATCTCTGCATTTCAACTTTTGGTTCATTTCCATATTTCGAAGAGAGAATCGATACTGGCTTTGAGTCCATAACTGTAATATAATTCAATTTTGAATTCACTTCATGCATTGAAATAGTGTATCCTCTTTTAGCTTTTTTTGGCATTTCGACTTTCACTTTCACACGATTATGCCGAACAGTTCCTGTCGCCGATAAACCATTTTTTTTCAAATGAATCATAAGATCTGGGTTTGTGAAAAAGTTGTCAAAATAAATATGATACTTTTTCAGTTCTTCTCTCTGTGTTTTTTCTAATAAATTCGAAAGTAACTTTATCACCACTCTAGACCCTAAACCAACGGCAACTAAAGGATTTCGTTCATCGATTCCTGATTTACCAGTGTAAATATCAAGATCATATATATACCCATCAGAAGAACAGACTGCCCATTCTTTTATTCCAAATCTAATGGGTTTATTCCTTATACATTGCTTGATACCAAACCTACCAAAGTATTTTACCATTATCTCATCTATTGATAAATTATAGTCAAAGAAACCAAATTGCATACAATTCTCACGAAACATATCATACAGAGTTCTAACCTTCCAGACTTTATCATTTTGATCAGTTTCTTGAAGTTTATAGAATCGTATGTTCTTTTTTATGGCAACGAAATTATTTCTAGACATAAGTTCCGCAATTACTGGACACTGAAGTATTCGCTTTTTTGACCAGTAATCACGAATACTTTTTCTAGAATTGAAGATAGTAATCATTATGATTGTAATAAATTTTTCTAGATCATCCATACATAAATCAAAATGATTTTCAGAAGTGGCTTCAATGATATGGTTTTTCATTGATTTCGAAAAGAAAACCTCAAACAACTCAAAAGCATTTTTGGATTGCAATGATGAAATAGGTGAAATATTGAAGTTGCTCTCGACATGCGGAGAAATATCATTCAAAGCGTCATTTTTCCAACTGTACTTATGATTCGGTTCCAACAATTTCTGAGTACTTGTGTATGTACTTTTAACATGTTCGTAAGAACCTGATGGTAATTCATTTGATAATGTATCTTCATTTGGATCACCGTCCGAATCTCCATCTGAACTTTCATATTCATTAGGAATGAATGCTATATCAATATGTTGACCTTCATCACTATCAGAATCTTCAACTAAATTTGGTAGATCGCTAATTCTCCGTCTCGGCATTATCAGTAACGTTACCAATTTAGAACAAAATAAAAACTAAAAGTTTTCCGAAATTATTATTTCAAAGAATAGATCCAATGTATAAATGTTTTCAACCGTTAGCCCGCCACTCAAACGTGATCTCTAACACGGAAGGATTTACGAAATGAAATAAACTTATCCAATTACAGTATAAGATCTCAAAATTTATCAGTAAAAAATACTGATATGATTCCAGATACCATGTGTGAGAATGAAAACACTTATTTGTCAATAGTTTATTTCTACATAAAGATATCAAATTGAACTCTGACAAAAAAGTGTTATATAGGTTTTCATCTCAATTTTATCCCCCGAATCGATTTCCGCATTCAGATTTTGAAAATTATGAATTTTTTTGTAATTTGTTTAAATAATTTGTTATAAACAATTGCAAATGACATAAGAAAAAATATATATATTTTATTTTTCACTTATGCAAAGGATAGCACAGTTTATTTTTTGCTATTCCAGATAGATTTTGCTTGGGACTTGACATGGTCACTTTTTCTCCCCAACATGCAATTGTTTATTCCTACGTTACACTAACAAATTGAATTCTGACAAAAAAGTGTTATATAGGTTTTCGTCTTGATTTCACCTCCAGAATCGATTCCCGCATTTAGATTTTGATAATTATGAATTTTTTTGTAATTTGTTTAAATAATTTGTTATAAACAATTGAAAATAACATAAAAAAAAATACGTATATTTTATTTTTCACTTATGCAAAAGATAGCACAGTTTGTTTGTCGCTATCTCAACCAGTCTTAGCGTGGGCTTTAATGGGTTAATATAGTCTGAACGATCTCGAGAGCAGTCCACCGTAAGTAAAATTCTAACAACAGAAGTTTAATTATGTGAATGAAAAAAATTGAATATTGATATAATTCAATTTTTGAGTACCAGCTTTCCAAAATCGCTTAAATTAAATTAAAATAGACATTTTTATAAAGAAAACTTGAAAAAAAAATTTTAGTCAAGGTGTTTCGGAAATTTAATAAAAAAATCGAGTTATGGCGGTTCCCTATCCCGATATTTATGAAATTTCCAAGATAATAAAAAAAAGATTTCTTCGTGGAGTAACTATTAAATTTAAAAATAAACGAGATTTCTATGCATTTTAAGTGTGAAAATAACCTAAAAATTCTCCTTCCCTCCACATTTTAAGTCGTGGTATACAACAGCTGGGAAATTGTGGAAGAATGCCTACTGAATAAACTTGTGACTACAGAGTCGTAACACCCACCTTTAATTTTCTTCCGGTGTGGAACTGCATTAGCAATACTTCATCGTTGGGGGCTCTGTCCCTTTTCGTACGTGTCGTTAATCCGTCTATTTATCCAATCGCTATTCCTTCACATTCTCTTTGTTGCTTTTCCTCTCTCTCTCATATATTCAATTTTTCAAGCGTCCTTGATCTTTCTTTCCCCTGAGGACCACGAAAGCATCGATTCAACATTAGTCATTCATACTTTTTTCAATTTCAAAAGGTAACTTCTGAAGTACTCGTGGCCAATAAGGAACTCGGTGAGATAAACATTGACCTTTCTAAATCTTCTCTTCAACAATCATCTCAGGTAACTTATCAAATATGTTGTCCATTTTGAAGAGAATTTTAAGAGAATGTATTCAGCTTTCAATTCCGATAACATTTTTTTAAGATCCGATATTCGGAATTAAAATGGGAACCGATTATGCGTGACCAAAAAAAATGAATATTTTGTCTTTTTTTATATCTGGAAATTTCATATCTTAATTTTTTTTTGATCATACTTTCAAATCACATCGAAATATTTTAGCAGCAACTATTTTTTGATAAAAGGCAAAACTTTGAATATCTTCTAATATTTAATTCAGGTGAGCAAAACCATGTGCAAAGAAGTGTATTTCAATTTATATGAACAGCTGCAACAGCCTGATAATGCTCACTGGATTATCTGAGAATTTTTACACTCTCCCTGACGAATCCTGTATTCTGATTTGGAAATCTCTTGTAATATGGCAACCCATCACTTATACTCCCATATCGAATAGAGCTCTGTATGGTTTGCTGTCGATCGTCACCACGAGCAGCGATCGACTCTCATTAAAGTCCACGGCCATAACATTGGTCGTGGCATACGTACGATGCTTCGTCATGACCCTTGCGAGTTCAATTTTTTCTGGAATAGATGATGATTCCACTTAACTCGTCGCATTCCCGACTATCATAAGCTGACCTTCGCGTACCACCGTCCCATGCCTTACATTCTTGGGATGCAGGAAAACCTATGCAGAAATCAACTCGTCTCCTGATTGTAGCTGAGTAAACCGCAACTGGACGCCTGTCCACTTTCTATTGCTCGTCAGCAAGTTGGTCTTGGTTTCCGACGTACAAGGGTCACCCACCTAGAAAATAAACACGCGGTGATAAACCGCCCGCAAGCTTCAAGCTGCTTGACCAGTCTTTGGGACTCGGTGATGTTGTCAATCGACGATATACCACATCCCCTTGGCTGGATACATCCTATATCCTATAACTACACATAACCAGTTTGCCTCTCAACTAAAGCTCTTCTGGTCGCACTACGTCATGCGCATCCTTCAACCCTGTGCCGGTACCACTACTCGGCGCTTCTCTCAAGTCGTGTCCGTCCCACTGCAAACTCGGTCCTGTAATTGTTCTTCTATGAGTTTT